AACCTTCTATCTGAAAGCTTGGCAAGTTTTTCCTCGGTAAATGCTAGATATCTATGAACATGTTGATAAATGATTGTTCTCATTAAAATCATATTAGAAAAATGCAAAATATGCCGTTTTATTCTCATACATACTTATGAGAAAATGATGGTTCTAATGTTACTAAGCAATGAAAGGCCATGCACGATGTTGAGCTGCCTCCTACGGGACACCAGGATTTCATTCCTGATCGTGCACCCCCCCTAAAACAAAGATCTCACAACATTTATCGGCTAAAGCTACTAAACAGTAGTATTTATTCTAATTTATACCAAAGTCAGTAATCTGGCTGCAGGACGTTCTCGTGATTTCCGCCATGTGTAACGTAAATATGAACAAGCTATACCGTGTAAAATGTTTTAGGCAAATGGCTGCCGGATATTCTAGTGATTTTCACCATGTGTAATGTAAATATAAACAAGCTTTCCTTAAATTATCCGCCACGAAGATATTTTCCTTTACCAGATAGTCACTTGCATGCTTTGCTTTATTTAAATCATTCAACCAGTCCTACTGCAAATATGTGCTGCCCCATGTCTGAATGCTCCGCTGATTCTGATAACCAAATTCTTTTATCCTTACCCGTCTATAAATGAAACTGTGTGACCGAGATTGACAAATTAATTAATTGTACGAAACAAATTAATACTTTTCTATAATACATACGCATATTTCAGTATATGACCTGAATACAAATAGCGCTGGTTTAATGGAGCATGATAACTGATGGAAAATCTGGTACTCCTGGTAACAAATCCAATGATTTCAGTCTGTTATTATTATCCTATCATACTGTATAAGTTTCATTCAGTGAACCAAATATTAAAATCCCATTGCCTGAGATACGCATGTTGGGTTGCTGAAGATAGTGAGGCTGGTTCTGTGGCATGAAACAACACAGCTTTCAAGCAGGCTGACAAGTGGAAACAATATCTGGTGATTTATTAGGATGGTCTGATACCCTTCACTTCTACCTCTGTTTAACCCCTTTGCCGCTCAGAAGGTATAATGATTAGTGATGTTGATTGCAGTACTTTTGGACCTGGGTTCGAATGCCGGTAAACTTTGGATGTTCATAAGCGTACAGTGTCTGTCCTGTAAGGAGGTGTTCAAAATACATGACGAGCTGAAAATTCTCTCGAGAGGCTGTGGTAAGGTTAAAGGAGTGGAAGATTCTCTGACCACTTCCCGTGGTGTTCTTTCTCAAAATTTGGGGTGGAATTACACAATTTGTGCGCAGGACTATACATGTACGATTAATGTTGAATTTCTGATGCCCCGTCCACTTTTACCTGTACCTGTTAAATCCATTTTAAAAGTAAAGCTTTTGTCTGTCTGAAGATCCAGTACGCAGTAACGCTCATGACATTCTAAGCTACTGTTTAATTTATCGTTATTAATTTTCTTCACTTCAAAGAAAACCATAAATCAGGGGATAAGCAGTTGTTCTGCTATGAACTATCAGCTTTTATTACCAATTCCGTGAGAAAGCTGATTACATAACACAGATGATTTCAGTATGTCATAGAAAAATCATATTTTACACATGAAAAATACATATTCATAATATTACTTCTTTATTATTTATATGCGGCTTAAGTGTCTGTTTGTCACCGATAGTTTATTGGTTGCTTGCGTAACTGTGCTAGCGAATGGGGTGAAATTTCAACGGTATTCAAATAGTCCATATACACTGATACCATACATGCAGTTATCACTGTTTTTAATTAAATTATCATTGTATTTAAGAATTTTAATATTTTTAATTCATACATGTTGCTTATTATGCTTTAACTATATTTACATATGATTCCTAGTTGCAACGTTGAGAATGCAAAGGAGACGAAACCAACTAACGAGTTGTGTGTAGTACATCTCTCAGGTAGTTTACCCAAACTCCTATCTAAATATCCTTCACGTAAAGAGTTTAAATTTGCCCGATTTTTATTCCGACATTGTATTTTAACTGATTTTTCAGCTGAACGCAATGGAGCGTGTCAGGGACGTGAACATTTGGCATTAGCAATCATCTGTTTATAATCAATTTATAATCATCAATTTATAATATCTAGAACAGCGGTCATTTCGCATGACCGACGAACTTTCTAGTTTCATAATAGTATTACCTCTACTTATTAGGCGTTCTTAAATTCCTGTTACCAATTCATTTCATAATTAAAGAAATATATTTTGCATACTATATGAGACAGAAAATAACATTTTACACGGTATAAATATGTATCCATATTTTATACTTTTATATAGAAATTATACATTGTAAATTACACTACCCAACTTCTAAACATTTATGAACAAGATGAGAAAATAATATAGCGAGAAAGATGCACAAGACATTTCACTTACTGTGCACTTTTAATTTCTTTCTACTAAATAATTTTATATTATTATATTAACGAAAAATATTTTGCCTATAAGAAAGGTTTTTTTAATACTAGCGGGCTGCTGCCAAAGCAAAATTTATAAATTCTATGTACACCTAAAAAGAAAATATATAAAAACATTTCAATATGAATGAAATCAATTCATTCTTTCCGAGCAACAACCAATTTGTGAATAATTTTTAATTGCCAAACCAGGAAACAAAAACCTTTTGACACTTGAGGTTAAGACGATGACGTCATGATTCAAATTTAATGCAATATAACAATATTTTCTCAATATCAATAAAAAAAATTAACGTTGGCAATAACATATCGTATCAGTTATCCTAACCTGAAGCAAAACCGTTGCCAGCAGCAGCTATTTATTTAAAATTCTAACATTAACGAAACATTTTCGACATACAATGACGTACATGCAATCGAGCGCTTTCTTCAGTGTCAGAATATGACCTTGTACAACAATAATATGTTTAATGCTTCGCAATCCTATTTTTATTTCATATTTTGTAAAACTTACAATTTTTTGATTAACAAACCCTACGATTTGAAAGTGGCAACTGCTTTATGTTCGAAATAAAGTATTTTTACCTCCAGCGCGCAAGACTATTGCCACTTGGAAGAAATGAGTGTGAAAATTAGCATTTTCAGAGTTTTTAATTAATATCTCGGCTGATTAAAGTCGTACGCGGAAGATGAAAATGGTCGAAATGACTTTCTATGAATTTTTGGAATCCGAGGGTACTTCTCTCAAAACTCACCTCTCCGACGCTCTGAAGGAGATGATGTTACAAACGAACAGACCGACGCACACAGATTTTAATAATATAGGTGCCAGATCCCAAATCACATTTTGCATATTGTTAATATATATTCATATTTTACAAAATCTTGTTCAAATTAAATATTAAAAATTACATTATTCAGTTTTTTAACACTTATAAACAGTGTGGAAAACTAAACAGCGTGAGCGTATGAAATAATATATAAATACAGACATATCTTTCTTGGCGCCATAAATTTATAATTTATAATTTAAAATTCATCTCAACACACTAAAGGCACACTCGTTTTTAGGAGATCATAAATTCTGTTGTCATTCCCTTCTTTCATCAATTACCTATAAAGTTCAACATATTTTTAAGAAATTTAACTTTGCGTCGTTATTTCCCATCATAAATTCGAGTTCCATACTCAAGACCCCATTCCGAATATGAATTCCGGGGTATTATAGATTCATTTCCCAGTGTGGTTTAATTTACATGGCCAACTAAGGGAGCCTTAATTACGCGTCAGGAAAGGAGGCATATATTAGAAAAAGGAAACACAGAAGTCTTCTGTTGCCCAACATTTGTTGGCCGAAAATTGTTGGTCCACTTCAATTTTCTGCTTAAAATCATTCAAAAACATCTTCCATTGGAAACGGATTTTGTAGAGGCATTTCACATTGAAAAAAATCTTTCTCTTCTAGTTAACGATCTAATTCCCCTATCTTTCCTTGGCCTTTAAAAGAAATTATGTTTATGTTCTCGTTTCCCACATCAACAGATGGGGCAATAGCTCTTTTTGTCAGGCTTCTTATCTTAACTGATCATTATCCTATCTCGTTCATTTGCGCTTTAGCTCTGAGATGGTGTTCGGTAAAACCATCGAACTACTCTTTTAATTTGAAAATATAACGCTGATTTTTGTTGTTTGACTTCTGAATTAGTATTTGTTCGGCGTGTTATTGTGTCTTGATTCTTAGTTCTTAGCTATAATCATGAAAGCTATTTCTTGTTATATTTTCTGCCTCGTGTATTTAACCCTCTAGCTGTTTAGAAAGAAGAAAGAGGGTTTTTCTAAATTTTAAAATGTGTTTGTCCACGTAGAGAGTGTTTTCATCCTACACATTAAAATCAAACCCTTGCAAACTACCAGCGAAAAGCAGGCCTAACCATTTTCTTCTAACTGTTGATCTCATACACCAGCTTAATACCTGAACCGACTGGTCACAGTGAAGAAAACACGAAATGAATTCAGTTTACGATTTCGCTGTGTCAGCTGCACATTCACATTCTCTAATTATTTATGTATGATTTGAAGCCTGAGGAAAAGCAGAGACAACAATACGAACGAGCCAGCCAGATTCAAGCTACAGAGAAATAGAAATGAAAATATCTTATTACATAATTGTAATGTCAACACTACTATCATTTTTATTGGTATGTAAGTTGCTTTTAAAGAAATGATATTGTGATAGTTGTCTGTAGTTTACTCATGACTACTTTCCATCTGTTATGTTCTTACTGTAACAGGGTCCTTCATAAAATAAATCATTCGCAGAATATTCCCCTTTTAATTTTTTAAATGATAAAATTAGTAAAAAAACTAGAACAAAATGCAAGGAAATACTGTACATTGTTTTACATATTTCTCTTTCTTTTACAGTTATATTACATCTTTAAACATACTTCTTTTTCTTTTATAGTTTTATTATATTCTTATACATATTTCGTTTTCTTTTCAGTCACCCGACAGATCATGTTTTCAGCTACAACCCTAAGATGTGAAGTTAGAATGAAGAGAACCTTCGCCATTGAACAAATCATAGTACTGTAAGTTTCTATCATTTTTTTATTTTTATTACTTAAATACTCTGTTTTTTCATTTTAATTTTTTTTCTTAAATACTCAAATTTATTGAAAGAAAGTTTTATCTACAAAAAATAAAGATGTGCAGTTATCGAAAAACATAAATATTTCTCTGCTGCAACAGAACCTCGATTTCCCAAGATAATTAGACTTGTTTAATTAATAGATTAAACTTTAAATCGTATCAGAGTTTCTTTTTTTTTTCGAGAAGGATTTTTTGCAATATTTTTATTAAACTTTTTTTTTGTTGGTACTTTTCTATTACTGTGTATAATTGTTTTTTTTTAATTAAACAAATAATCCAAAAATCGCTTTATTTCGTGACCACAAACTTCACAAAAAATTGTAATAAACAAACTGGTTCATAATTGATGTAAATTGAGAAACTTTGTCAAATGTCGTGCATGCATATTTATGAGACTTTAATGATTTTTGAAATAGAGTTAAAAAATAAAATATGTACCATAGCATTTAGGTATGTATAAATAGAGAAGTTTACTTCATGCTGCTTCAGTAGAAGTTTTCTCACAGTTTCTACAGCAAGAGAGACATCACACTGAAGAGACTTTTAATATAGGTTCATCGAAAGCAAAACCCTGATCATATTATGCAGCAGACATTTCTCAAACGTTTTGACTCATGACTTGTTTGAACGTTGCATAAATTTAATAAAAATTCTATTCCAAAAAAGGTTAAAAGTTAATCGAAATAAAATGTTATTTTTACAATTATAACAAATCTTTATGTGTGCCAAATTTCAAATAACAAATCTTATATACCGGTTTTTGCGAATATTTTTACGTTGGCTAACAAAACGCGTTTGAAAAGGATATCTTTAATCTTTAAAAAATATTAAGGGGTAGGTGAAATTAATTGACGTATTAACTGAAATATCCTCGTTTAAAAAAAAAGCATCTTTAGAAATAGATGTTATGATATTTTATATTGAATCGGACAAGTTAATAGTTGAACGTGTTATTTCTTTGTAATGTTTTATTATCATTATACACAAACTTTAGAATCGTGGCTCTTATCTATGATAGTCTCCCAGGAAATAATCTTAGATTCTAATTGCAGCCACCACTTAAAAAAATATCTCTTGTGTATAAAGAAACTCAGAACCCCTTACAGCATTTCTCCCGTAGTATTGGTTAAGTGGTTATAACAGCTGAATACTGGGAGTTCAACCCTGGTACGATCCTACGCAAACGAATTGGCTGCAGGTCGTATATTCCTGGTTTTTTCATGTGTAACTTGACTACGATTCAGTTTTTCTTAGAGAGTTTTAAAGAAGACATCCCTTCCCTCATTCCGATAGCCGTTGCTTTACTTTGCTATATTTATAAAACTAGCCTACCCCCTTAAAGCCACGTGAAATCGAAATATCCAAATGTTCTCTTTCCAGATACTCGTGATATTTTAACAGATTCCGCTTTAAACAGTGGATATTTCATCATATTCAGCCTTGAAATTAGGAAAGTTCTGCTAGATATTTTTGTTTCAAGAGTATCTAAGCCTACAGTAGGAAAAACGGCACAGACTTTGATTTCAAGTTGGAACCCGAGGAAGCATCAAAAGGTTCATTTGTTCTAACGTTCTAATGCATTAAACAAACCTTTGATCGAACTAACAGACATTGTCAGACAGCCTAGCAGAGGTTAAACAGAATTGCTTATTTTTTTCTGGCAGGGCTTAGCAAAATAACAATGAGGTTTGATAAACAGTCAACGACTACGAACGTCTGGTTTTCGTTCAAATTGAAGCTTTCATTTTCCCTCTTTCGTTTAGAAATTTGAGCATCTTATATAAACAATTTGAGTTTCCTTGTCCATCTCTTATTTTTCTTCTCAAGCCTACATTTTGTATTATTATTATGAGTCAAATTACCTAGTAAAGACATATTTAATGTACTGAAATTTGACAAATATTACAGAGACATGAAAGCTTCAAAGAAAAGGAAACAGTTTGCAGGGTTAAAAAAAAAATGGCGACGCACGTTTGTGGTAGACATCCTACTTAATTACTGAATTCGCTTCAATAGGATACCAGTAATGATTTCTCTGAGTAAAATCCTTAAATATTTTAGACATCCTCAGTGGAGATTTCTGTATTCTTTTAAAAAATATTTTTAAATATTTTTCTTCTTTGTGACACGTGATATTTTTCGCAAGTAGTTTCAGTTAATTTTACGAATGTCTTCACGTAAAGAATATATACGCAAAATATTTTGGAAAAATGTGACATTACTCATGTCCTTGAAAGGATGGAAAGAATTCAACGCGTAGTTACTTTTATCAGATAACTGTGACTTGTTTTGCATATTAGAATTTCCTTCCAATATTTGTCACTATCTGAAGGTTGCAGGAAAATCGTCTCTTATGTAGTAATGCAAAATGAAGATAATAAAGATTACATTAAATTTAAAAATTGTAATTCTTACTGAAATTGTTTAGTCACTTAATTTGGCAATCTATGGTGGTTTTTCTCATTTAATGATATTTCCGCAAACAGATATGTTACGATTCTTTCTTGTGATAGAATAATCAGTATTATAGGTAAAATTTAGTTTCAAGAAAATATCCTTACGTTTTACACGTAATAACGAGTACGCATGCGTAATGGAGTAACGTTTCGCTTCCCATCAAAATTCTTTTTCCAATCCGTTATGACTTATGATATCATCAAATCCACGAATTTTATTGTTATAAAAATCGCATTATTGCTTCTGTCGTTGTCATGGGCCATGGGCAATTCATAGGTGACTTTACGACTTTGTCAAACTCTGTCCCAGTTTTGAAGGAAAATCTCCGGGGCTGTTCCTCGTTTTCTAATCCCTCTAGTGTTTTAAGTTACCCTATGCCGCATAGGTACTAAAAGCGCCAGAGCTTTCTCCGTGATTTGAATTGGATCCAATGATACTGCAGCCAGTATCGTTAACCACTATAGCAATCAGAGTGACCTTTTTCCTAATCTTAATATATGTTATATATTTGAATGCATTCTAAGATGTTCGTGTGCTTGTATGGCAATTGCGCAAATAAAGCAAGGTTTTTCATAGACTGCAGTACAACTTGAGCAAACAGCTCCCTTGAATGATGAAGAAAGCAACTTTTTTCATACGTAACTATATGATTTAATGATAAAAACTAATGGAAATAACTTTCTAATAATATTTGATGTATTTGAAATTATCACTGAAATTCATTAGCGTTTTTTGTTATTGCATATGTATTATCGAAGCTGTGACCGTTTCCTTCTGGATGCTTTCTTTATAACCAAATTTTTCAAGTACTTGAGTGAATAAATTTTTCCCGTTTCTGCTGAGTATCTAAATTTCATAGTTATGCTAAATGTCATATTAACATTATAAATGAACCTCCCGCTTCAAAACGGAAAAAATCCGTACAATTTATTAATTACCAGCTTTTTAATATAAAAGATATTTCTGATGATTTTTAGCTTTTTTCTTCCACTTTCAGGCCAACTTTGGGATTGTTTATTTTATTCTTAGAGGAATTAGGACATTTTATATTAAAACTATTGATTATTAATCTATACCTATTTCTTTCAAGCAAAAAATAATAAATTAAATTGAATAGAATTTAGAAAAAAAATGGCAGTTCTGACTGGTATACTGAAAATTTCGTGAGTGATTATTATATAATACTCAATAGTAATTGATATGATATATAATATACTATTTTAGTACGTGATATACTATAATAATAATAATGTAAGTAATGAGTTCGTAAACTTTTACAAAACTTAAATTTTATGTAAATCGACTTTGTAAATTGCTTATGAGTAATTTAATAAGAAATTGCGATATTTATTATACGAATATATCGTACATATATGTATGTATGTATGCATGTTATTTCACAGTATTATTTTATAAATGAAATATGATACAGCAGCAGTTAATCGGATATAAACGGAAAAAGTATGAAATATAACATAAAAGATACTACGGAAATAAGCTGAAGTGATGCCCGTAAATTTACCAAAAAAATTTATAACAACTATATGGCTCTCTAGGGCAAAAGTCAGCGCTAGAGATAGATGGTTGTGAAGAGAAAGATTATTTTTTGGCAATTTCTAATTTTGTCGATTTTGAAGGCAGAGGTCGTCTGATTTATCGTCTTGCCTGTGTCGTAAGCATTATCTCACGAGCATATCTATAAGTAGACTTTTCTCCCACTGGCGGTCACAAATCTTTTCTTAGACGTTGGCCACTACTAGGGCCAAAAGCGGTAGTCACTTTATCATAGAGGCACCTAAAATGTCATTTGAAGATGGTCATTTGAAGATGGACACTTACAATCATGCCTTCTCCGGGATTCGAACTTGGGTCCTTTGGTATCGCAGTCGGCTTCCCTAACCACTATACCGTCTGAGCAGCCGAGAGTAGATCACGTTTTTATACTTTTTTTTTTTTTTTTTTTGTGATCGTAGATAAGCTTGTGGCTAGACATATCGGAATGGATACCCCTGTAACATTCTGCAACTTCCTGTATACAGATCACGGATTCTAACTTTCTCAGGTTGTCTCTCAGGTCTCTCAGGTTGAAAGCTTTAGCTAAACCTTTTATTATAAATAAATGGCGATAGAAAAGTCATTCATCCCGGCAAAGCACAGATGTATCTAAATGTATAAAAATCGATTATAATGAATTTTATGTTACATTCGAATTAAATATAATGAACCTCACGTTATATCGGATGTAACAAACTTCGACAGATTTTTTTTTACAAATTTTTCAATTTTTTCCCCACAACTTCTACAGGCTTTAACAGAAAAATTACTAACCTTTAAAAAATCATCAATGTTAAGAATCTCAGGCCCCTTGTTTCTTCCTTGTTACGACGGTGGAAAATAACTTCATATTAGTTTTTTATCTTCACTACCATTTTTTTCTGTGTTCTAAAAGAAGACTATGCGAGGGAGGTTCATGTTCACATAA